GGGCATTTAACATGAGGGACATTTAGGCTTGCTCCACTGTGTTGGCCAAGCCCACTCTTCACACCACTCTGACTTCCCTCCCTGGGCAGAGCTTTGGCCTCAGTTGTCCTTGAGTTTCTCCCCCAGCCTCATCTACTAGGGGAGGGTGAAGCTGCTCCCTGCTCACCTCCCTAGTGGCCCACAAGACAGAGCGTAGCCTTTGCAGGGGTTCAGTGAGCAGAATTATGCTTGGATAATAAACATTGATGCCCTGGCCCAAAGCACACACATCAGAAGCGTGTGTCCCAGCGCTGTACTGTAAAGTCAGATATTAGTCATCAGTGATTGCCTGCCCCTAGGCAGCCATGGGGCTCCTGGGGGATCAGAACATTGTCTCCAAGGCTGCACAGTTGCTTGTTCTTCTGTCTTGACAGACCCCAGTAAAGCAGCTGCAGGCAGGATCCTGGACGGGCTCCCTCTGGGGCTATGAGGGCTATTTAGATTATGATTAATACTCCTGTGTGCCCAGGTACATGGCAAACAACATAGCCATAAAGCAGAAGTGCTGATAAGTAACTCGTGGGTCATTAGGAGACTTCTGAATGATAAGGACTGGGGAGCACGAGGAGCCGGGGTGCCCACCCTTCCTGACCCGACACACCTCCCACGGTAACCAACACAAAAGATCTTCAAACCCTTGCAAAATCCCCTAAAGTCACGTACAGGGACTTGTGGCACGGCATAAAGTGAAAGGGGAAGAATACTGAGATGGTTCATCAAAAATGTAATTTATATCAGGATCCTATTTTTCTTTGTGGGGACACTTTGCTCTGCTGTAGAGAGTTTTAAGTCAATCTGCCGGAGAACTAGCCCATTGGAAAATTCTAGGCGCCTCTTGGGTTTGACTCGGGTTTGCCGCCCCCCTCATTAGACCCTGTGCATTTCCTGACCTGCAATCCATTCCCTCTCTGCTCTTCCTGAGACATGCTGAGTAACTGGCATCAGTGGATTATTACCAAGCAAGGTTTTTTAAGAACATCCAAAAACCAGAAGTGATTTAACCCCCAGGCCTCAGAGCTGGGAGCAGGGGCTGCAGTATTAATATCAGACGAGATAGACATCAAGCAAACACAGTATGGAACTTGACAAAGAGGGACATCTACAGCCTAGGTGTGACAAGCACCCTGCTATGGGGACTGGGAAAGCCCATCAGCCCCATAATCCAGGAACCATGAAGTTGGAACAGAAATGGTCCAAAAGCACCATTGGCAGGGGAAACACACTGAGATAAGAGAAGCTAAGTGGACAAAACATATTTACATAACATATTTACAGAGTGTAATCAAGAAGCTGAGCCTATGGTTGTGTACATCAAACTCTAATCCCAAAATAACACAACCTCTTACATCCCCAGCATTTAATAGCGTATTTGTTCACAAAGAAAACAGAAAATTCTATAAAGTGGAAATGTGATAGTCACTTTATGATCAGGCTTGTCAAAACCAGGAAATGTTGACATTTTAAAAGAGCAATGGGCCAGCAAGGTGGCTCAGGAGGTAAAGGCACTTGCCACTCAAACCTGGCAATCTGAGTTCGATCCCTGGAATCTGTGTGTAAAGTGGAAGAGACCAGGCTCAACAGACTTGCCCTCTGACCTCTGTGTACATGCCATGGCTCATGTGCCCCCCCCCACACACATATTATAGTAGTAAGTAAACCTGAAAACAAAAAATTGGGCAAGATGGATAAATTCCTCGGAAGATAACAGCTCCACCCGAGTGTCCCAGCGGAGACATAGGGCTGAAGGATGCTGGGCAAACAGAAGTTCTGAGGAGCAGGCCCATCAGGGTCTCCATCCTTAAAGTGTCTGAGAGTCCTGAAGGCCTTACACACCATGAAGTTCTCACGCTGCAATGGCTGCTCTAGAGGAAACCACAGATAAACCCACGGGTGTCCCTGAAGGTGTCACAGAGGGAGATATGGGCGGGTGTTGAAGGCATGGATCTCCCAGAAGAAAATGTAATAGGAAGTGTTTGCACCTCGGGTTAGGCAGATGTCTTTAGATAGGACACAGAGAATGAGTCACACATACACACTCTCACACACACACACCTGGATTTCAACAAAATTAGAGGAATTTACTCTTTGCCAGAGACTGCCAAAATAAACGAAAGGATGAGCCATCAACAAGAATTAAATATCTGCTCACCACAGTGATAGGGAGGGGACTTGTTTGTTTGCTGGGTGTAAACCTGGCCTGAGCTGGAACTCACTCTTCGGCCAAGGCTGGCTTCAACCTGGCAGCCACCTTGCGCCCTCAGCCTCTCAAGTGCAGGGATTACAAGGTGAACCCCACACTCGGCTCTGGGAGAGGAGTTGTATGTAGGATGTAAGAACTCTGACAGAAAAAACAAAAAACCACACCAATTAAAAATGTGTGAGCTGGGGCTGGCAAGATAGCTCAGTGGGAAAAGGCACTTGCTGCCAAGACTGAGGATCTGAGTTCAATCCTTTCACAATGAAAGGAGAGAACCAACTCCCTTAAGTTGTCTCCTGAATTCCACAGACCTGCCCTGGTATGTGCATGCCCAAATAAAAATCATTTTTCAATATCAAGAAAGTAAAAATAAACTACCTAGACACTTTTGCCAAAGACTACGGGGGGGGGGGGAGCCCATGAGATGTTCAACACCACTTGTTAATTGAAAACAGCAAGTTAAGATAAAAGGGGGCTGTCCTATCACATGCACTAATAGTATCAAGGGCTGGATGAACACGCAGAGCATCTGGTCCCCTCACCCATTGCTTGTGGGCAGGAGAAATGGTGCGACCTCAATTGTCCTGACTCTTACAAAGTTCAACATACCCCTAGAAATGGTGGGTGTTTATCCTAGTTGTCAATCATTTACCAAAGTAAGTCCAAAGACTTGGGGCCCAGGGGCTCCTGGCGGCTTCCTCTATAATTAAGATCTGGAAGTAACTCAAAAGCCCATCCAAACACCCCACTGTGGAGTGCTACTCAGCGATAGTAAAGAACAAAGCTTCCTTACAAGCAACAGCCTGGTGAGTGTAAAGGCAGGGGGCGGTGTCTCTATGAGAAAGCCCAGTCACAGCTGCAGGGCACACTTACAGGAAGTTCTGAAAGAGACAGAGCCAGGGAGAAAGCAAGCTGATTATCTGGTTCTTGGAGAGGCAGGCAGTAGACACAGAGCTTTACTCGGGGGCAAAATGATGGTCTGTGTTTGACTGGGATAGTATTTACACATTTGACTGGGATAGCATTTCTCAAACTTGATGAATTTGCTTACTTAATTTTTATTAGTTTTGTTTTTTGAGACAGGGTTTCTGTGTGTAGCCCTGGCTGTCCTGAAACCTGCTCTGTAGACCAGGCTGGCCTCGAACTCACTGAGGTCCTCCTGTCGATGCTGGACAGCTACTTAACTTAAATTTTAATGCGCACAACCCACACATTAACACGTCTGATTTTAAATAATAGTCCATAACTATTATCCCTATGAGTTCCACTAATGAAAAGGCACTGGGTTGGTAACAGGGTGGCTGGATACTGAGGTTGAAGGCAGGCTGCTCCCTGAGTCGGCCAGCAGAGGGCACCAGAGAACAGTGGCTGCCAAGTGGGAACTGGAGACATGAAATGGCCCTTCCTTCTTCAGCACCACACTTTTTTTTTTTTTTTATTGTGCTACATGAATATCAAATTACTGAGTGCTGAGCAAAAAAATAAATATGGGGGCTACTGGCCATGAGCCTTTGGGAAAACCTGGCAGTTGTGACCGAGGACTGTGTCCTGTCCTCGGAGTCTCCAGGAGACCCAGTGGGGTTGGGGTGGGTCCCCTCCAGCAGGGAGGGCTACCGAGCAAGAGGACTCTTCTCTCCCAATCTGCATGACTAACCTGGAAGCCGAAGCTGTCCCGTGGGAAGCTGGGACTCCCTCCCTCCCAGGGCTGGGGGTCTGGGAAAGTGGAAGGGGCTGGAAAGGGTGACAGTTGACAGTATTGAAGGGCGGTGTGTGCGTGCGTGCGTGCGTGCGTGCGTGTGATCCAGGGAAGGTGAATTGAGGCCCGCAAACCCCTTGTTCATCTGCTTCCTATCAGATTGACAGCTGCAAGACCCCTTCCACCAGGCTCTGCCCTGTCTGCTTCTCAGAGGTACTCCATGCGATCTCGGGCACAGTGGAGGCCTATGAAGGCAGATGGCACGGAAGGACAGGCAGAGGCTACTGAGGGGTCCTGGGGGGAGGGGGATGAGGTGGAAAAGACAGCATTTGAGGGCGGGTTTAAAGGGAAAAGAGGCTGGTTTTCGATTGATTCAAGAGTCACTATTGCTCCAGAGGCAGGAGGAGCCTGTTGGTGGCCCTCTGGGGAAGGCAGAGGGTGACACAATCTGAGCACGGAAAGATGTCTCATGGTCAGCTAACTCCTAGTGTGGGGCAATGTGGGGCAAGCAAGAGTTATGAGAGCATGATCAGGCTCCAAGCCTCTGACTGACAAGCAGAGCCCAAAATGATGAAGACAGCTGTGCTGTGTTTCCTCAGATTGACAAGGGTCATGGTAATTTTGGAAGATGAGCCTCAACTGACAAGAGTTCCCTATCAGACTGCTCTGTGGTCAAGCCTGTGGGGCATTTTCTTGATTGGTGATTGATGTTGGAGGGTGCCCTGGTGTATAAGAGAGCAGGTTGAGCAAGCCAGAAGGAGCAAGCCAAAAAACAGCGCTCCTCCATGGCCTCTGCATCACTTCCTGCCTCCAGGTTCCTCCTTTGAATTCCTGCCCCGACTTCCTTTCATGATGGTCCATGATCAGAATGTGTAAACTAAATAACCCCTTGCCTCCCAAGTTGTTTTTGGCCAGTGTTTTCTCATAGCAACAGAAAAGCAAACTATAACGCTGTTCTTGGATAGCCACACAGCTGAATAGGATGGCTCCAAGAATGAGGGAATCATTTCACCGGAGTTTCCCAAGAAGGAGGAGGGGTTGGAGTGGGGCAAACCAGTGGTCCAGGCCTTAGTCCTGGACCTCAGGATTTCCCCCAGGCAGCAGAAGTAGGCCACTGGGTGATGCTAACCAGTCGGCTTGGGCTGCAGAAAGGAAAGGGGATGAAACGTTTATCAGAAGCCAGCCTCGTGCCATCCTGCACCCTCCTAGCTGCTAGATGGAGACCACCAACAGTTCTTAGACCAGTGGTTCTCAACCTTCCTAACGCTGTGACCCTTTAATACAGTTCCTCATGTTGTGGTAAGCCCTCCAACCATAAATTTATCTCTGATGCTGCTTCACAACTGCAATTTTGCTACTGTTACGAATCGTAATATAAATATTTTTGGGAGATAAAGGTTTGCCAATGGGATCGTGACCCACATGTTGAGAACCCAAGCCTTAGACAATGCAGTGAGGACAGGGTTTGTGCTAGAGGCTTCCCTGCCCAGATTTGCCTCACTGCAACACTGTTTCCTCTGTCAGCAACTTCCATTTGAAGGTGTTATAGAGGATGCTTTTGAGCCAAGAAACACCATGTTCCAGGCCCCCACAGCTCTAATTCACATCAGGGGGCAACCAGTGGACAGGGGCCCATGTCAAACATGAGTAGCTCTCAGAGCAATTGGTACAAGTGAAGGCTTTGGGGAATTGTGGTCAGAAATCATGTATTACTCCCTTAGGGTCCATTGAGCTCTTTAAAGAGAACAGATTGTGCAGAACCACAGAGATGGCTGACTAGAGATGGCAGAAGTTCATATGGGCAGAGCACTGTCATTATTGGAGTGGTTTAGAAGTGTCCAGTGGCTTGCTGCTCTCAGAGGGGATGAAAGGGTGTTAAAACTATACCTCTTACACACGTGTAGATGCACACATTCACACACTGTTGCTCACACATGCGCACACACACACTGATGTCTTCACAAACATGCACAAATTCACACACTCGTGCACACATATATGTAGGTGCATGGTGTGTACATGCACCGTGTACACTCCATGTATTCACACCCAAGTGCACTCACACACACACACACACACACACACACACACTCCTGGACATACCCACACATTCACACACACACTGTCTCAAAGAAACCAAAATAAAATTTGCCAGGATTAAAAGGTTTTCTTTACTTGGAAAACATGCTGTGTCTAGCCACTGCAGAGGGTTTATGAAAACCCAGAAATTGATGGAATCTAGTTGAGGCTTTCTTCTTCTGGCTCATAGCCCCAGGGAACCAGTGGCTGGGCAGCAGTACCTCTCAGTAATGACAATCTGGAGGCAGAAAAGCAGGGCAGTTGGTAAACATGACAAGGGGCCATAGGGGCCTGCACTAAGGAGTGTGGTCAGCTCATAACCCACAGATCCCGAGAGAGACGAAGGGGTACAAGGACGACACCCAAGCCTCAGCACTCTCTGAGGACCTGTTCTCCCCAAACCATTAGAAATTTCCCAGGAGTACCTGCTGACCTGTGTGTGTGTCACACAACCAACCACTGAGGGATGGCTGATTTCGGGGAACCCCACAGTCCACATAAAATGCAGGTGTAGTGTCTATAACCCTTGTGTTGCTTTCAGGTGGGGGTGGAGATAGGCAGACCACTGATGCTCACAGCCCAGTCAGCCTAGCCAATCAGTGATCTCTTAAGTTCAAAGAGAGACCCTGTCTCAACCATGATGGAGAAGGGCTAAGGGAGACACTTGATGCCAAACTCCGGCTACCACACACCTGTGAACACAACACACACACACACACACACACACACACACACACACAGAACACACACAAGGGAGGGGCCCTCAGCAGGTGGGAATAGGTGGGTGTGGCTCATGACAGGCCCCCGGGTGGACCCCCCACCTGCAACCATTTACCTTTCACAGACTGTGGGAAAAAACACCAGGGCACCCCAGAGATTGAGCTGGAAAAGCAGCACTGTCGAGAAGCGCACTCACTGGGGCTGATGCCCGGATACCCACAATTCTGTCGGGCTGACACTTCCATGACACACTCGTCTGATTCTGGCCATGGGAAAGAACAGCATACAAGGCTCTGTCAGGCTGGCCACTCACTGAGGGCCACTAGTCCATCCTTCCCAGAGATACTGGGTTCACAGCCTCCGTGTGTCTCAAGGAACTCCTTAGGTTGGTATCTCTCGGGACAGTAATAGCTAGGGCCTAGTTGTCCTTCCCACAGGAGGGCACTAGCATGGGGAGGCCATCACAGGTGGGACTATCTGCAGAACCGGAACCTCAGGGAAAACCACATCACCCTTTTGGACTCAGTGTTCAGCTCTATGAAATAAGAGCAGCTCACTGTACCAAGCCCAGAAGAGGCTTGAAGACACTGATCCTGAAAGGGACCTTACACACAGTCATCCACCTACCTGTTTTGTTTTGTTATGTTTTTTTCCTGTAAAGCACACTGAACACTGGGGCGGCGGGGGAGGGGGTCGGAATTCCCCACCATGAGTGTGACCCAAGGGCAAGGTTCATGCCTGCAGTGGACACTCACAGCTAGCCTTGTGCATACTGTATTCACAGTTTTCCCTGACTTGAAACACATTACAAAAAAAAGCTGTTAGAAGCCTCAACACTGTTCTTCATGTCTCAAGTCAAGTTTCCAGGGATGACAATGGCACCTTAGCTGCTGCCTCCATTTCCTTTCTGAAACTTCTTTGGAATTACGGTTTTAAATTGGGGGGGGTGAGATTTGGGTCTGCTCACAGGCAATTGTAGATACAGGGCATGGGGGTGCGGGAGCAGGAGGGGGTATAGAAGAGGCACTATGGTTTCCTTTTGGTAAGCCTGGGCTAGACAAACAGCCAGGCTTCCAAGCACTTGCTCTAGACCTAAGCTGACAGCTTGCAAGAAGACCCAGGTCTCCACGTTTACCTTGTCTTGGAAGTGGTTGGTAACACCAGGGGACCCCACCAACGCTGGAGTCAAAGCAACACCCGAGATCGAAGCACTGTCCATTGGTGATGCCCGGAAAGCCACAGTTCTTTCGGTTTACCGGTGCCATCCTGGAGCACTGGCAGGGGGCTGTGGATAGATCCATCCAGGGTCAGCCCTGCCCAGTGAGCCATATGCCTGCCCCAACCTGCTCTGGGACCTCAGGGATCTTCTAAAATCCCATGGCCCAAGGAGTGACACGGGGTCTTATTTTGCCCATGTTAGAGTTGTTTGGTTTACTCCTGAGGAAACCACAGGCTTTTGTTGAAACCACTTCATTTTTTAGAGAGAGAGAGAGAGAGAGAGAGAGAGAGAGGGAGAGAGAGAGAGAGAGAGAGGCCACACAAACCACACAAAGATGATGGCCCTGGGGACCTGGGAGAGATCAAGGTAGAAGATGAGCAAGATGGCAGAGAGCAGCAGGCTCTCCTGTCCTAACCAGGCTGACACCTGTAGACATGGCCCTTTTGAGTAAGGGTAGCTGGGTGCAGTTCATACAGCAGCACCCAAACTGCAGGGTTCTGTCTAGCTCCTTGCAAACTGTCACTTTGCCTTTATCCTTTGAGGGCTCATATAGAAAAGCCCCACCTAGTACAGGTGACAGTCGAGCTACAGCCCACCACTCCTGTGCCTAGGACAGGTGATGATGGATGAACTACAGCCCACCACCAATCATTCGGATCCAAACAGGTTTCACCTCCCACCCTCAGGGTTGTCCATGGACTTTTACTTACAAGGTTTGTCGCTCTCCACCAGAGCACACAGCCCTAAGACAAGGACCACTGCCAGAAGAGAGGCTCCTCGAGGTCCCATGTCTGCTCCACTATACCTGAGCAGCCTGCAGGATGCCCGGTTTCCACTGCCTGGTGTTTTATTGGCTCCTGTCTGTTTGCTCAGTGGCTCTGATAACCACCCTCCACCAGTGGCCTCAGCCCTCTGTCGCCTTTGTGCAGAGGAGCTGACAGCTCCACGTGGAGGCCTAGAAGAGGTGGGAGAAAACCTTGGGCAGCCACACCAGGCTTCCAGGCTGGGGCAAGCTGGACTCCATAGGCACAGCTGCCCCCTGCCCCTGGCAGGAAGCAGGGTCATGCCGGCTACTGACGTGGGGAATGGGCCACGTGTGCAGCTGCAGCTGGTCACTCTCAGGGTCACACCCAGGAAGGGATTAGCTATGTTTTACCCTGGATAAAGTTTGTGGCTATCATAGAGACAACTGATTTTTTTTTTTAAATATTTGGAGTGAGGCTATGTGGGAGAAGGACATTCCATCCAAGAGTCTTCTGGGTGGGGGTGGGGAGAGCATCTCACGGGACTATGGGAGGCACCTCCAAGGTACCTAGTTTGCAACTCTGGTGCAGGGTCCACCCTTCCTCACCTTGTTCCCTGCCAACCTCAAGGACTGTTGTCCACTGAGACCAGTTGACAGGGCCCAAAGCTGGACATTCTTTCTCCCATGATTATGCCTGAGTTTATTGGAAACAAAAGCATTTACAGAAAGAAACATATTTCTCTGATCTGTTACAAAAATCAGTTTTCCCCAGTTGCCCCTGGCTGCCTTTGTAGTCATCCTGAATAAGCAGGAGGAACTCACTAAGTTCAATACCAAAAAGAGATAAATATATTCCAAAGAACTTAGGTACCAAGGAATACTTTGCATCCCTCAGATGTTGCCCAGCACTGAGATGCCCACAGTGAGCTACTCTGGAAAAGGGCTCTGTAAATTGAACCCAGAGAACAGAAGCCAGGGCATCATGACAACTCAAAAGAGAAATGACAGGGTGGAGGAGAAAAGAGCTGTGTACATATTCCTTGGGACTGAAGGGACCTGCCTAGCTGTGGGTGAGAGGCTACAGGGTCAGTGACTGCGATACAGACTCTGAAAGCCTTGGCCTTATCCCGGGCTTGACAGAGCAGACTGGCGGAAGGCATGCTGTCACCCTTGGGAATGGTGCATAGGTGTGTTGCAAATGGAGCTCTTTATAGACGGCAAGGCCCTTTGGAGAATCCCATCCATTTGGCAAGGACCTATGGATACAATACTGCAAACTCCTGCACTGACCTTAGGGAGCTCATGGGGTTTGGGTTTCACTAACTTTTGCTGTGTTTATTCTTATGGAAACTGTTGGTTATGCCTTGCTAGTCGTGATTATGCCTGAGTTTATTGGAAACAAAAGCATTTACAGAAAGAAACATATTTCTCTGATCTGTTACAAAAATCAGTTTTTCCCAGTTGACCCTGGCTGCCTTTGTAGTCATCCTGAATAAGCAGGAGGAACTCACTAAGTTCAATACCAAAAAGAGATAAATATATTCCAAAGAACTTAGGTACCAAGAAAACAGTTTCTTAGAAGATGACATTAAAAACTTTATAGGAACACAGAAGGAGAAAGAGATAGGACATGAAAGATCAGATATTTTTCTGGCACCAGGATATGAGCACTCAGAAACTCATAATATCAAAGTATTAATAAAGAAATCTAAAACTTCTAGTTCCCCTTAAAGAAGTACATTTAGAAGTTGCCAGGAAGAACAAAGGAACTTAGTCTTCATAGATAAAGAGTTAAGTATTAATCATTATTCTGAAAACTTATAACTGTAATCCATATAATAAAGTTGAAATACAGATTGCTCAGAAACTGGCATGCACCTGAAAAATGATACACTATATTCAGCTGATCTCACATTGTTAAGAATTGATCACTGGTAGCCAAAACTATCCTGTACAATAAAGGATCATCTGGGGGCATCTCCATCCCAGACTTCAAGCTCTATTATAGAGCTATAGTAATGAAACCAGCTTGGTACTGGCATAAAAACAGACAGGTGGACCCATGGAATCAATTTGAAGACCCTGATATCAACCCACACACCTATGAACACCTAATTTTTGGCAATGAAGCTAAAAATATAAAATGGAAAAAATAAAATATGTTCAACAAATGGTGCTGGTATAACTGTCTCTCAACATGTAGAAGAATGCAAATAGATCCATATCTATTGCCATGTACAAAACTCAAGTCCAAATGGATCAAAGACCTCAATATAAATCCATCCCCACTGAACCTCATAGAAGAGAAAGTGGGAGATACATTTGAATGCATAGGCACAGGAGACTACTTCCTAAATAGAACACCAGTAACACAGACCCTGAAAGCAACAATTAATAAATGGGACCTCCTGAAACTGAGAAGTTTCTGTGAAGCAAAGGACACAGTCAACAAGACAAAAGGGCTCCCTACAGACTGAGAAAAGATCTTCACCAGCCCCACATCTGACAGAGGGCTGACCTCAAAAATATACAAAGAACTCAAGAAGCTAGAAATCGAACTACCAAATAATGCAATAAAAAAATGGGGTACATATCTAAATAGAGAATTCTCAACAGAACAATCTCAAATGGCAGAAAGACACTTAAGGAAATGCTCAACATCCTTAGTCATCGGGGAAATGCAAATCAAAACCACTCTGAGATTCCATCTTACATGGATCAGAATGGCTAAGATCAAAAACACCAATGACAGCTTATTCTAGAGAGGATGTGGAGAAAGAGGAACACTCCTCCATTGCTGGTGGGAGTACAAACTTGTATAGCCACTGTGGAAATCAGTATGGTGGTTTCTCAGAAATTAGGGATCAACCTACCAAAAGACCCTGCAATACCACTAATGGGCATATATCACAAGGAGGCACACTCACACCACAAGGACATTTGCTATGCTCATAGCAACATTATCTGTAATAGCCAGATCTTGGAAACAGCCTAGATGACCCTCAACTGAAGAATGGATAAAGAAAATGTGGTATATTTACACAATGGAGTACTACTCGGCAGAAAGAAACAATGACATCCTAAAATTCACAGGCAAATGGTCAGAACTAGAAAAAAAAAATCCTAAGTGAGGTAACCCCAAACCAGAAACACAAATATAGAATATACTCACTCATAAGTGGATACCAGAAATAAAGCAAAAGATACTCAGCCTACAATCCATAACCCCAGAGAAGCTTGAACTGTCTTCCAGAAACAGAAGTAGATGCAGAAATCCACAACTAACCAATGGGCCAAGCTCCTGGAGTACAATCAAAGCGAGGGAGAAGCAAAAATATGAACAAATGAGCCAAGCCAAGCCACAGAATCAGCTGCCCGTGCTAGTGAGAGATCACTGACTCTGATCTGACAAGTGGGGAATCTGCATAAGACCAAACTAGACTCCCTTAATATAGGTGGCAATGATGTGACTGGGACACTATAGGAGGCCCCTGGCAGTGAGTCCAAGACCTAACACAAACTGACCTAGTGGAGACCATTCTATATGGAGAGATACCACGCCCAGCCTAGACACAGGGGTGTGGGGGTGGAGAGGTACTTTGGTTCTGCCTCAACTAGATGATGGGACAGACTTAGTAGACGTCCTAGGGGAGGCCTCACCCTCTCTGTGGAGTAGATGGGAGGTGGGGGAGTGGAGGGAGTTGGAGGAAAGGAAGGAGGGGGAACTGGGATTGGAATATAAAAAGTAAATTAATAAATAAAGAAGAAAAAGAATTGATCACTGGGTTCAAATCGCTTTCTTTGTAACCACATGTTTGCTGCCAGCTAGGACACAGTATGGATAAGATGTACCTAGCTAGGTATTAAAAATTTGGCTTGCTACCTAATGATATGGGGTAAAGGTCAATGATATCGAGGGAGTGGGAGAGAAGAGAAACTAAAATGTTAATGATTCTTGGAAAAATGACTAAAGAGAAATGCTTTGAAACTGCTCATGCTTGAATGCATTAGAAATAAAGATGGCCTGAGCTAGTCGGGGCCATCAGCTTGAAAGACAACTGGTGGTCAGACTCCTCCTTTTTCATTGACTTCACACATCCTTCCTGAGGCACAAGAACCCTGCTGGAGCTGGACTCCAACAGCAGACCTGAGTTCTCAGTGCCTCACCAGAATCTTACCCCCCGGACCTGAAAACCCAGCCTGAGTCTATTTCCCTGCAGCACACCCTGTCACTTTTTGTCGCTCTGCTTGTTAGGTTTTTGGTGTTGTTTTGTTGTCAACTTAACACAAGTCAGATTCATCTGGCAAGATGAAACCTCGGCCCTAGGTTGTATAAGAAAACAGGTTAAGCAAGCCATGGGGAGCAAGCCAGTAAGCCACGATTCTCCATGGTCTCTGCTTCAGATCCTGCCTCCAGGTTCCTGCCCTGACTTCCCTCAAGAACTAACTGTGATAGGGGTGTATAAACCAAATAATCCCTTTTCTGTCCAAATTTCTTTTGGCAGCAAGCTAGGACAGTCATCAAATTCACAAGCTTATCAATCATCTATTATCTTGAACATTCTCATACCTTCTTCCTCTCTGGTCCACATCCTAACCCAACTCCCCATCCCCTGACAGGGGTTCTGCTGAAGTCACCTGTCCCCTGAAGAGACACCCTATTCTGCTGCTCCTCTTGAGCAACCCCCCAACACACACTCTCCTGTAGAAGCCTGTGTTATAACTGCTTGCATCAGTTTTGAGGGACAGCCAATTAAGATACTGATATATACTGTGATCAGCCATTTAAGATAGTCCCACACTTTGGACCATTGACCTTGGGAATGAATCCATACAAAAATAAACAGACCATTGTCCCATCATAGGGGCTCACAATGATCTCAAGGCTTCAGTTTCCACTTATGCAAAAGTTGGTGGGTACTGTGGGGTTCAGGCTCTGAGCTGTAGCACAGCAATTGCGTCTGCCCCACTGGGGTCCACTGGCCTGTCTCCTGTGTCATGGACTCATTCTCAAGGTCACTGGTCCAAAGCTTGGGGCCATCTT